AGAGAAAGGAGCGGGGAAACGCCTACTAAGGGAATAGACTCCAAACCTTGTGGGGGTGACTAAGAGCACCCCTTTGACTTGTCGGTCCTGAGTGCAGTCTGCAGTGGCTCTGTGACCTGTAGGGGTGGGCAGGGATCTGGTTCCTATCTACACCATCCTAGAAGCAGAACCATGTGGTTGATGCTTTCTGGGTGCTGGATAGTACTGTATAGCATCTGCAGGGGTCATCTCATCTCACCCAGACATGGTCTAGGAGAAGATGAACAGCCATTATCCACTTGCTATCTAAAGTCCCCAGAGCACGTCTGAACAGGGTCTGTAGGACAAAGGATGTCATTGCCAGTATCTTTTAACCATACTCCAAGACCTGGGAACCATGGTAACTCAGTCTTTGCCAGTGTGAAAGTGACTTGATCCTCCCCACCAGGAATCTTGGCCAGAGTCAGTAACTACGGACCTGAGACTACTGGTCTACCATCTCCTGTGAGTATCAGCTTCGGTATCTGCAGTAGCCATACTGTGGTGAGGCAGCAGGGGGCAGCCTGGACAGCAGGGGGCAGCCTGGACAGCAGGGGGCAGCCTGGACAGCAGGGGGCAGCCTGGACAGCAGGAGAGGCTGGTGGAGGACAGAGAGCCGCAGAGGGGAATGGGAAGGGAGTTCAGACAGAAGTCCGTGGTCAGCAACAGGCAGCAGGCTCCTGGTGTTGGCTGGCTTGGTGGCATCTTGGAGGCAGGACCTTTGGAAATCCTGAAGCCAGATGCTGCCTGTGAAGGGGGCGGGGGTAGTAGGTGGCCAGACTATCTGTCACAGAGCAGGAATTGCCAAGCTGTTGAGAAGATGGGGACAGACGGGTTTCCTGAAGACTGACCGCCTTCTGACTCTTCCTCCGGTCATCTGTGGTCATCTGACAGGACAGATGCTTTTCCCCTGGAGCCTCTCCCCGGGGGATTGCAGTGGAGACGGCACCCCAGTGACAAGCAGGTGTGGAGAGCAGTGGCCTCAGGTCGCCCAGTTCTGGAGCTCCAATCCTGCATGGAATTAATTCTTCCCCCTTTCTCAGGTCCCTTCTCCAGATATTGTTGGTCCTGTTGTAAATGAGACAGTTTTTGGAGCTCTCGGCAAATCAGGGCTCAAAGAGCATTTTCTTGTTTTAATTAGGTTTATTTGATTTTAAAAGCCCTATACCGCGCTTGGCGCCCTGGGGCCTTGTGATCTGAACAGGTTATTCAAATCACTTTCTCCTCAGCTCTGAAGCAGGCGGCCAGCACCAGGCATCTCACAGGTGACCTTGGTGCTCAGATGAAGTTCACGCAGGGTCTAGCAGGAGTGTCGGCCCGCACTGCTTTGTGTTCAGCTCCCTCTGGACCCTTTTCTGCCCATGGCTCCGCTTCTGCCCCCGTTGCCACGGGTAGGTGGCTGGTTTTGGAGTCAGTAGTATTTTCTGAGGTGAGTACTGCCATGGCCCAACCCACCTGCCCATGCTGCTATGAAGCAGAGGGGCTACAGTAATCCCCCCTTCTCCAGGCTCTGCTGGTTCTGAGTCTGACCGTGTGGCCTCAATGTTGGTAGGTGGCCCCCTTTTTCTGGGCCACTCTAATAGGGTCTGCCTACTTCATGGGAACCTGAGAGAACCCCTCCTACTCCCTGCCCCTCTCCCTGGCCATCATCCTCCTGCAGCCGCTCCTGCACTGCTAGGCTGGACCAGCACCAAGGTCTGGCAGCTCCAGCATCCGAAGCACCTCTGTCACTTCCCGTCTGTCCTGACTTCCATGTCATGGACTCAGGGCTGGGCCTCGCACCAGAATTCAGGGTGGGCAGACACAGCCTGCCTGTAGAGAGCCCCGGGGGAGAAGGACAGAAATGGGCAGATAAATGGTCATAATAAAGTGGAGAAACTAAGCCCCATCTCTCAAGATGATGAGCAGGAAGATCAAAAGTTCAAGGCCTATGTGGGCTCTGGGAAAAGTGAAGTTGGTCCAGGGATGTGTTGGGATAATCCAGGAAGAGTTAGGAGAGAGGAGTGGGGGTGGATATGATCAAAATACATTGTGTACCTCCATGAAGTTCTCAAAAGAATAAATTAAAATATAATATATTAAAATAGGTATTTTTCTGTCACAATTTTAAAAGTGGAGACGCAAAATCGTAATATAATGGTAGTTTCTTTTTTTCTATTTCTTTTGGTTTTTTGAGACAGGGTTTCTCTGTAGCTTTGGAGCCTGTCCTAGAACTAGCTCTGTAGACCAGGCTGGCCTTGAACTCACAGAGATCCACCTACCTCTGCCTCCTGAGTGCTGGGATTAAAGACGTGAGCCACCACTGTCCTGCTCATAATGGTAGTTTCTTAATCAAAAAAAGGGTGTCTGCTTGGGTAAGTTGGTAGCAGTCTGTCTTTAAAAAAAATAAAAAGGGGGCTAGATGGTAGAGCGCTTGCCTCGTGTGAAAGAAATCCTAGATCCAGTGTTAGGGAGTATGGGGTGGGGTGGGGGTGGGGATTGAAAGGAACATGAGAAATTCTTGTGAGACCCTGTGGGGTCGATTCTCAGAGGAGACCAAGCTATTTGAACTGGGTCTCAAAGGATGCGTATGAGGCAGGGAAGGGGTAACAGTTCAGACCGAGGATCTTTGGTCTGTACTGTTTCTCAGTCATTATTAACTGGAGTGAACAGTGCTGTGAGCCCTGACCGGGACAGCGGTGCTATGAAAATGGCCACGGTGTCAGGGCCCCCCACCTTGCCTGTGTGATACAGGCTAAACTGTTTGTGGCTGCTTGCAGGGGGCATTCCTGAGACAGTGACATGTGGCAGGTGGCAGCGTCGCCGGGGAAGAAGAGAGTCGTTCTGCAGCTGCTTCTCTAGGCCTGCAGCGGTCTGGGGATGCTGTGATGGCGAGGAGCCTGTTCAGAGCAATGGAGGAGGTGACTCCAAGGCACTGAGCACAGACACAGCAGCTTCCGGGGATCGGCCTTCCTCCTCTCCCTTCGTAGCAGCCTCCTTCTCTCTGGAGGGTGTCTGAGTCGCCGGAATGGGGTCTCCTGTCTGTGATTGAGGCCAAGGCCTCCTTCACCATTCGCTGCTGCTACTGAGAACTCACTGGCTACCTGACTGTTCCTGCACCTCCCCTCCTCACAGCCTCATCCCTGCTTTTTCCCTTTGGCAGCTGCCCAGCCCTGGCTTCTCCCTTCCCTGCTGGGTGCCTAGCCCAAGCCTGGGCTAACTGTACAGAGCCTTCTGCAGAGGAAAAGGGGGCATCTGGACCGGGGAGGGAGCTCTCCAAGCAGTCTGTAGGCTGTCCACCAATTACAGACTCTTGGTAGTTTTGTGTCTGGACACGCTCGCGCTGCAGGAGGGCTGTGGCTCACAGACACTCATGTCCTTCTCTGGGTCTGGTCAGCATCCAGGAGCCCATTCTGCTGATAAGAGGGTATTTGGGGGGCCTCTACCCCGCTTTACATATGGGCTCCCCACCTGAGACAGTGTCTGACATTGCAGAGATGCACAGTTTGGCCTCCTATGAGGTCTTGGCCCTGGCACGGGAAAGCAAGGGAGCTGGCCTGGACCTCCCAGAAGATGCTTGCACAGCCAAACTGCGGGCATTGCACCCACTGGGCTTGAGCAACACAGATGGCAGCTCAGGCCCGAAGCAAAGGGAAGGTGAGGCTGGCTGGGACAGACAGAGAGCCACATAGCCGCTCTGTGAGGCCTGCTGCTTCATTATATAGATGGGGAAACTGAGACCCAGGAAGTGGCAGGCAGGAGGAAGCTGGTACCGACACAGTGGCTGTGGGGGACAGTAGTCCAGGTAGGGTATGGTTCAGAGGTGGCGTACGTTCCCTACAGTGTACAAGGCTCTGGGTTCCTTCTAACATGGTGAGAAACAAAACCAAAGAAGAAAACTGGGAGAGGAAAAAAAACCCACGAATAACTCTTTCTTTACAGTTTCCTTACAAAGGAATATTTTGAGACTGTAACTCTCACATAAATGGAAAAATGGAACAAGAAGCTACTGATAGAACACAGGCCACGCCTGCCACCCCCGCCCCTGAGCAGCCCTCACCCTGTCCACAGGGTCACAGCAGCTGGCTGTGGTGGCCAGCCCGAGACCTGGTCTCTGCCCCGGAACTGAAGCCACTGAGTCCTGTGTGGCTGTGGAGTATAACCGCTGGCTATAGCGGCCCGAGCCATTCAGGAGCCAATCAAATGGAGATCTATTACTTGTTTTTTCCTAGAAAAGTGAATAATACATTTTTACAAAGATTCATCTGAAAGGACTGTACCAAAAAGGAAATGGTGGTCACTATCTGAGACGTGGTGTTCTGAGAAGAGTACCTTAGGGTTGCAGAGGTAGATGTGAGAGGCTGGACCAGGGAGCGCTCGGCCTGGTTCAGCCTCCTCTCCCCTCGACTCCAGATCTCTGTGGGTCAGCTCTGTGGACAGCATGCAGAGCCTTGCCTGATGCTGTCCCTGTAAGCCATGCACCCCGGACCACCACGTCCTCTTCTGTGGTACGGTGACAATATTGTATCCCAGGGGCTCCCTGCCTCCCGCTTTGCAGTTAAGCGATATAATGCTACTCTCAAGCTTTCCGTGAGTCCTTGTATCCAGCTTGCACCGGTTCCCAGTACACCTGTGCTTCAGACTGGCCCTGCCTCTTGGAAGGACATGCCAGGGTATAATGAACTCATTCCACCTGACCGACAGATCAGGACCTGGTGTTGTACAGGAATGGAATGTGGACCCTCTCAAGGAGACCAGCTGGTCTCCTCCTCACAGAGTCCCCACAAGAGTGGCCTGTCCTGCTGATGCCAAGTAGGGTGGTGGGGACTGTGTGGGAGGGGCACAGGCTTTCTTTGGTCACTGGCCATGTGCCTAAGGCCTGGCAGTGGCTAGGTTCCAAGTGTCTTTGGGAGATTAATTGGTTCTCTCTCTCTCTCTCTCTCTCTCTCTCTCTCTCTCTCTCTCTCTCCCTCTCCCCCTCTCACTCCCTCTCTCTGTGTCTCCTGCCTCGTGTCATCTCCAGGGGGGCTTTCTCTGTGGTCCGACGCTGTGTCAAGCTCTGTACCGGCCATGAATATGCAGCCAAGATCATTAATACCAAGAAGCTGTCAGCCAGAGGTAGGATCCGGCAGGGGTTGCCTATCGGGACTGTGGTGAGGGGTCAGGCAATGCCAAAGCCTTCAAGATGGCTTTGGCTGAGTGGACATGGGAGGAATTTGCCCTCAGCTCACAACTTTCACTCTGCAGTTTCTGGGGTCCCACATAGCTGCTCCATCTCCGTTCCAGACCTGAAGAGACTGTCAGGCTGGTGAGGCACTGGGGAACTAGGTAGTATTTCTCTAAAAAGTATGGCCGAGGAGAAGCAGTGACTCCAAGCTGTGGGTGGGTGATGGTGAGCTACTGGTGAAGTCTCGTCCCTGGCGCACCTTGGGTATCCAGATGGTTTCTTAACTGAGTCTTCTGAGCAGAGTACAGCATTGTCTTCCCCAGGGAGGCCTCTGCAGGAGTGCAGGTGTGCAAGGAGGGGTCTTTCGTGGTGCTGGCTGGGCGGGTCACCCAGACAGAGCCAGGGTCCATTGTTGGTAGGGGCACATCATTTCAGGCAGGTTATCAGAAGTCACTCTTGGGGCTTCCTGGGGATGGGAACAGAGTGAGTGGGGGTCCTGGCATTGCATAGGGATCTGGATAGAATCCCCAAGCGGGACAGGCTGGAGGCCTGGTGAGGCCATGGGGGTGGTGAGTGGGTGGCTGCCAATGTGAGATGGCATTGCCACGTCACCCCTCTCCTCCCACATCCTCCTCCTCCCGTCCTCAGGCATTGCAGCCGGAGAGAGCTTAAAATCTGAGCTAACTGAGGACCAAGGAGCCCTGACCTTTCACCTCTCTTATCCTGAGTGGGAGATGCTTTGGAGCTGAATTAGGGCATAGGCAGGGTCTCCTCTAGTGGGCGTGTTGAGGGTGTGAACCACCTGCTGATGGCAGGGTCAGTCTCCAGTTTCCAATCTGACAACCCACAGGTCACATAGCTGATACCACACCTACAATTTATCGACATATGTGTGAGCATGTTTGAGCACCTGCCGTATACCAGACCGTCAGGGCTCTCATATGTGTTTCCTCTTGGAAGCATTTTCTGAACCTAAGATAGGGTTCTTCAAGGCCTTCAAGGCCCCGGGGTGCTTCTGTATCCGCTGCTGTCTTTATCCCCATCACTGGGTGATGCCCCGGGCTGCTTAGTCCCTCCACGTGGTGAACCTCCAGCCCCAAAGGGCCAGGGAGGGTGATGGTATGCAGGAACCTTGGCCACAACAGGGAGCAAGTTCTCTTCTGTGCCCGAGATGGGGAGCCAGCTTTAATGGGAGAGTCTTGGGTGCCCCTTCTCCTGAGATTCCTCGTGCTAGATGTGGGTCACCTGCTGTCAGTGGGCCCTCCCTCTGTCCTGACCTGTGATTCAGGGTCTGGGGCTGTGGGTTCTTCTCTGCCAAGACATAGAACTAGAGTGGAGCCCTCTGTGCTCAGAGTGAGCCCAGGTCGCGTGTGAGATCAGTTCCCATGGTTTCCAGGCCACATCCCGGAGCCTGCACGCTCCTAGCTGGGGAGAGAGCACAAAGGAAGGTCACGATTCGAGGCACATTAGGTGTGTGTGCACATGTGTGACTTTGACTCTGTGGTATGAATGTGCCACACTGGCGGTAATCATGCTGGCGTTAGCTCCCGCAGAGGGCTTGCTGTGTACACTGTGCCCGAACTCGAGACACTTCTGTGCTCACTGATGTGGTGTTGGTTTGCACAAATTTTTTGACCTTTCAAGGCAGGTGGACCATGGGCCTCATGTACCCGGGAGGATACTGAGTTTTGTGGTCAGCCCCATTTCCTCTTGTCACCATCCCTAGGCTGAAACGGCTTTTGCCACATTTCGTGATTTGTCCCGCCTGTGTCCCTTGCTGCCGTGAGGGCTGCCTGGTGTGCAAGGGTGTCTGGGAGACAGGTTACTTCACCTTGTTGTGTGCTGTGCTTTTGAACAAAGACTGCTCTTCTCCCAGCTCTGTTTTGGTTCCTGGCCATGCTAGCAGACCCACGGGAGCCTTGGCCAAGCCAGTTGCTTGGTAGAAGCTGCATGAGTTATGTTCGGCAAAACCATGCTGCTTTCTCAATCAATTTAATTGCCTAAAAACCCCATCCAGATGGATTAACTTAAGCAACTCAAGTCCCTAATGCTTCATGTCTCCCTTTGCCTCTCCACCCACCACTGAGAGGTAGTAGTCACTCCTCAGTCCTCGTTGGTTCTCACGGGGAGGCCCTCAGAAGCCCTGCTGATCTAGACCTTGGCCCAGTCCCAAGGAGGTGCAGAGAGCTTAATCCCCACCTGGGCTGGTGGTGGACTCTCCAAGCTGTATGACCCCCACAGGGCCACTCACTGGACACCTTTCTTCACAGCCGGAGGGCTTGTGCCCCTCCCCACTGCTAACAGCCTAGCACTGTGCTGCTGGCCCGTTACAGGTGACCTCATCCCTGACAGCTTTTTCTGACCTTTTTCACATTTAATCTTACCTGGGGGCCCATACAAGACCCTGATGTGTCTAGACAGACCCCCACTCATCCTACAGATTCTCCCTGCATGCTGGGGGGGGGGGCTGGGAAGGAGTTCCTGGAGGTCAGAAAATGTCACCCCAGAAGTTGCATTGGTGGCTGAGTATTGAGGGGTAAGTAGAAATTTGTTAGGCTTGAGCAGAAAACCATCTATTTTTCCATAGACGTTGGCAACCTCCTTGGATTAATCAACCCCCTATTTATATCCTCAAAGTGCTTCACAAGCTGGGAGGATTGAGGGGAGTGGTCTGGTCTGGTCCACCAGACCCCAGGTTTGGTCTGGCTTCTTCTTTCCCATGACCCTGACCAGAGTGCCCACGAACCCTTTAGCTGTCAGGCTGTTGAAATGCCTTGCCAGTGTGTGGGGGCATGGGTGTGGGAGGGAGACCCTTATTAACGTGCTCCCTGCCATCTGGGCCGGACAGTGTGTGGTGGGCGATGGCAGTTTGGCGGCAGGGGAGAGGGGCGGGGAACAGTGGAGGAAGGTCTGAAGTTACAAACATCTGCAAACACCACCCCCACACCATCTTCCCCGGCACTCTCACTAGGGCTGTTCTGCTGTGGTCTGCTGTCAGGAGGCAGGCCGGCCCTGCCTGCTTCCACCGAAGGCCTCTTCACTGCCCCAACCTTTTCTTGAGTAATTTTTTTTGAGACAGGGTTTCCTGTGTCTCTTTGGAACCTGTCCTGGACCTCGCTCACAGAGATCCGCCTGCCTCTGCCTCCCGAGTTAATCTGGGATTAAAGGCGTGCACCGCCACCCGACGAGCCTTTTTTTTTTTTCCACGATAAACTTTTAACACAGAACTTTTTCCTCAAGTATCAGCTCTTGGCTGCTCTTGCCCATGTGTGCCCCAGCCCCCAGACGGCTCAGCATCCTGCACGGGAGGCTTTAGCCTCTATCTTCAGCAGAAGAGGCAGTGTGGCACTTCCTTGTCGTCATCGGATGCTCAGACCTGTTTCTGCCATGTGCTCGGGTGCAGCAGGATGGCAATGGGATCGTGCAGTTGGGTCGTCACTGACATTTGGCCCCACTGCAGGCAGAATCTCAGAGTGACTGCCCAGAAGTCATCCCAGCCCCCCCCCCCAGCATGTGGGGAGAATCTGTAGGATGAGTGGGGGTCTGTCTAGACACATCAGGGTCTTGTATGGGCCCCCAGGTAAGATTAAACGTGAAAAGGGTCAGAAAAAGCTGTCAGGGATGAGGTCACCTGAAACGGGCCAGCAGCACAGTGCTAGGCTGTTAGCAGTGGGGAGAGGGCACAAGTCCTCCAGCTGTGAAGGAAGGTGCCCAGTGAGTGGCCCTGTGGGGGTCATACAGCCTGCAGACTGCCGAGCCCTGGTGGAGCCTGAGCTATCTGCACCTCTTTGGGCTGGGGCCATTTCCAGGTCTGGGTCTACCTTGTCACACCTGCTGGACCAGATGGCTTTCTATTTGACCCTAACAGACTTCTACTTAACCCACCACACTCAGCCAGTGCAACTTTTGCAGTGACTCCCAGGAGCTCACCACTGTGGTATGGCCCCAGAATCTTAGCCAGGAGGGAGGCCTGCAAGGAAGCTGACCCTACAGACCCTGGATCAAATCCGAGTCTGAGCAATAACCCGGAGCTGGCCTTGACTTGGCTGCCATGGGCTTTGCCTGTTTCCCTCCTGTGTCCACAGTCGGCCCCAGGAGGATGGTGATGCCCGGGAGATGGCGCTGCGGAGGCTCCTGCCTGGCTCTGGTTGACAGACAGAACCCTGCCTCCCCACTCACCTTTGTCTGCATTTCTCTGTCCTTTGTCCCCGCTGCCTTCCCATAGGTCCCCATTCTTAGCCTTAGCCTCTTGCACCCTTTGGAAGGGGTGAGGGAGTCAGGTGGGTGACTCCTCTTGGAGGGGGTGCCTGGCACCAGCTCTGTGCTTTATCCTCCCCACACTTCAGTTTTCCCAGGTGAAAATGGAGATGAAGCTGCCTACTCAGACGAACGTGCTGGGAGCATGAGTGTAGCCATGCCTGCAGCCCCTTCCCCACTGCTCCTTCTCCTGGCCTGATAGCATTGGCGCCCTGACTCTCGGGGCTTCACATGGACACTGTTGTCCTCTGTGCACCCAACCCTCTTCTCCACTGACTGTCCTGGATCAGCTGGTTGAGCCCTGCTTGCACTGGGGCCACTGGCTCACCTTGAAGCCTCCCAGCTCCGACCTGAGAATATTACAGAATTGTGCTCTCCACAGTGTCCAGCTCTCCCTGGGGTCTCTGCCCATCTGCCCCAGCATCCTCCTTCCTATATACTGGGTTCAGACTTCTTGAAGTAGGGAGAAAGGCCCCCCAAAACACTGGGGGATTTCTAGACACCTACCTGACACCTTCATTTACATTTGTTCTTCAAGTTCGGTGAAGAGAAGGGGACCTCAGTTTTCCTCAGATAACCCCAGGACTATGGGGAGTACTGTGGCCCCCACATCCAGTGCACCCAGATAGAGGCGACTCTGGTCCTTCAAGCTGTTGGGAGGAGGAAGTTGGTACTGAATGCAGAGTCGACAAGG